CACAGAGATGAGATCCACTCGGGTGTTTGTGGGAACTGCCCTGCTTAATGAGCCCCAATATCTTTTATAACAACTCCAGAGACATAGCTTCCAAGGTCCCTGAAAGGGACATTGCCAGTTATAAGAATCAGTAAATTCAAGAAAGCCCAAAGCTTTGGGTATTTATCAAGTATTTATAGTACTACAAGGCCAGATCTAATGCACCAATCTAGGGTCGTTTTGACCATAAGCAATGTTGCTGAGTAACACAGTTAAACTGCAATTTTTATCAGGTTTCCAGGGGAACAGAGCTAGAGAATTAGTCCAAGATCAAATTCTTACGCAGGAGGGGAAACAATTTGGTAACCCTCTGCCTACACTGGGCCTCCCAGAGGTTTTCTTTCTGCTATAAGAAAGTTCAACTTTTGCAATGAAGCATTCCTACTAGTAGTGCTGTTTATATCAAGGATATCTCTGCCTACTTGCGTTTTGATATACATTCCTTAGTGGGAAAGAATGGGAAGTGTTATAACTAGAATACTGGAAATTTTGCATAACTCTGGGTATGTCTATTGTATTCCATTAAAATCTGAGTATCACTTGTCACATACTGACGTGCTGGGGTGATCTTTTTGTAGGGTTTCTTGGAAGATGTGTTTGGGTACCATTAGCTTCCAATGTCTGTTAAATTTGCTTTACTAACTCCTTTTCCTCAAGTGTAAATTCTTCCATTTGTTAAGACTGTTCTGTTTCTCCCATTAGTTTTCCTCAAATAGTTGGTGACTGGTGATTGTATACTCATGTCTGTGGTTGAAATTCCCCTGGTAGACCGTCTACCACATCTACTTGCACAGCTCTGCTTACAAAAGGCGTGAGGGCTGCCACAGCCTGGGTACAAATTCTGGTTTGTTTTCTGTGAGACTGGGGCAGAATAGAGCTACCTAATTGTCTAGTCCTCTAAGTGAAGCTGATCACTGTTTCTCTCAGGCATTACCAGCTACTTCAGGTGACAAAATACTTCTATTTATCCTACTCTTTTTTCATTTGTGGTAGCAAATTACTGAAATCATCCATGGCCATCTAGGAATTCCTAGTATTTCCAGTAATGATATTGGGGAGGAAAGTCTTATCACAGATTTAAGATGCTTCTATTAAAAAACAGAAGTCTCTTATGGCCTCTACCCTCAAAATTAAGGTGTTTATATTTAGCTTTACTGTTTGGAAAAGAAATATTGCCTAATTGTAATCTTAAAAATTCATCTGAGTTTTTTAAAAAAATAAAAGTATCTGAGGGAACTGGATGATTTTAGATGCTCAAAAAACAGTGACCAAAATTCTGGAAAAACTTGAACTACAGAAATTTCATACTGGCACTGAGCTTCATCAAAACCCTGCAATGAAAAATGAAACTATCCAAAACAAATGTAGCAACTTGAAAGCCGGGTCCACATCAAAGAGTAAAATGGTACACGGCGGCTGCGTTCCAAATACTCCAGCCAAGAAAGGCTTTCTGACAAGCAGAGGTGGTTCGAGGCACAAAACAATCCATATTTCAGTCAACAAATGTGTCCCAGGCTTTCTGCTGGGATGGAAAAAAAGTACATAATATTCAGCCCCTGTTCCTGAAGAGCTTAGCATCTATGGAAAACCATATAAGCACATGGCCTTACTGAAATTCACCAGAATAGAGACAAACAGTCAAGGAGATGTTGTTTGATTTGGGGGGGCGGGGAAGGAGACAGAAAGAGAGAAAAGAGCTCCAAATTAAAATCTTCCCTCCCGCAGGAAGTGTCTTGTTTGTAAGTTTTAGTGCGAAGCTGGTGTAAACACAAGAATGAAAACAGAGCCTGCTCTCCTCTGAAGCCCTTCCCTGTGTGTTTTCAGATGCTAATGAACACCAATGCATATTCTATCACAAAATGGGAAGAAACAGCTTTTTATCTAGAAGGAACCACACACAGGCTTCTTTAGGGACAATGATAATAGCATTTAAAAGCCAAAAAACAAAAATAAAAAGTAGATGTATAATGTCAGTCACTTTTTTGGGGGGGACGGTGAGGGACGCCCCCTTATGTCAGGCATGGCACTGATGTCTTAGCTACAATATCTAATTTGTTGCTCACAGCAGTCCCAGGAGTCTGGTCTTGCCCTCACTTTACAGTTGAGAAGAGTTTCAGTGGGGTGAAATGATTCACTCAAGGTCTCAGAACTAGAAGAAGCAGAGCTGGGATACAAACCCAAAGGTTGATCTGACTCCCAAATCCATACTCTTTCCAGAGGACCAAAGTCAACAGAACTCAAAAAATGACAAGTTCCACTTTCCATTTTGTGTTGTCCCTGAAAATTCAATCAAGAAGGAATGGAAAGACCAAGATAAGTGACTTCGACAAATTCTGGGACATGTTCTCTTTACTTAGCTTTCTCTTGCAGCTCATGCCTCTTTAAAACTTGTCCCAGAAAGTTTGAAATCCTCAGACAGTCTCCATAGACTTATAGCCACTTCAACTACACTCTGAACCCTGAAATAGATTCAAGAAGGGAAGATGGAAACTGCATAATAGAAAATATTACGGGAGCCATGCAACCGTGTTGAGTCGGGGGCAGGGGGCATGTCACAAGATGAGATTTATATTTTAGAAGTTTCGGTCTGGTGGCTGTGAGGATGGAGCTGGTCAGAGAATAATAAGCTTCACATCCAGAGAGATCATTTAGAAATCAAGTGTAGTATGAGAGAACGAGGGCCTGAACCATGTGGTAGCCGCAGTCTGGGGAGGAAGGATTGGAGAAATAAGAGATGGCACCGAGACATAGCATCAACAAGACCTGCTGACCAGCTGGTTGTAGGAGGGAGTGAAGGAGAGGAAGGATTGAGTCCCAGTTTTCTGACTTGGGTGACTGGGTTGATGGTGATGCCATTCTTAGAGACTGGGGATAAAGGAGGAATAGTTTGTTTTTGGGGGAAAGATGCTGGCTTTAGTTTCGAGGTGGTTGTGAGCACTCCTGATGGAAATGTTACACAGGCAGCTAGATGGCTCTGTCCATTCTTTTGTTCTGCAAATATTCATTGACTTCATGATATATACCAGATGTTGAGCTTGCCATTAGGTGTGGAGTGACAACCAAAACAGACATGTTCTGTGCCCTCACGAAGCCCACAGGCAATAAACAAGTAAATATATATATATATGTATATATACACACACACACATATATAGTGTTGGGCAGAAAAGAATAAGGTGCCCTGAGAAGAAGAACCAGCCTGAGAGTGTGAGATTTGACAGTGGAAACTGGAAGGCTGGGTTGAACAAGTTTCGGTAGCTCAGAGGAGGTGATATTTGGCTGGAGGTGGGGGTGGTGGGCATCTACATAGAGGTGGGAATTAAAGAGGACATGAGGGAGGCGAGTCAGAGAAGCTGTCCTTTGGTACAGGCTGTTGGGGTGGCAGTGGGGTCTGAAGAACTAGATATCCCAAAGGCTGAGGCCAATGGTTTCCATCCTCTCAGCCGTCATGATTCCCACTCATAGAAAGCAAAGTCTTGGTGCGTCTGACTGAGGTTGTTTTCTGCTTAGGGACCATGGGAATGTTGCCATCGCTCCACTTTGGGCATGTTCGGCACATGTAAATACGCACAGTGTACCCACTGATTTGATTTGGATAGCGGAAGACGTAAGTAATCCCCTCCCCTGATTAAGTAGTTAATCCCAGACTGCAGTGAAATATGGATGCTAACTTGGGATTCTTTAAAATAAAAAAGAGGCAACTTCTGTCTTGCCTAAACTCCATCCTCTTAACTGAAAGTCAAGAGACACCATTTAGGAGCCAAATTAAGCCCAATTCATCCTGGCAGAAACAGAACATCCAATGAGAATTTCAAAACCACTTGGAACCATTTGACAGAGAAAAGAAAACTGCATTGAGCCCAAATTGGGAGTTGTTCAGCTGTGTTTAGATAATATCTACACCAACAATAATAAAAGGGAACATTTATTGCATTCAATTTTTAAACAGCCCTATGAAGGACTTATTCTTAGTAGCCCTATTTTGTAGATGAAAAAACTGAGGCACAGGGAGGTTAAAGCACTTTTCCAAGACATCCTGTTTTTGAATTGAAAGAGCCTGGATTTGAACCCAGAAGTCTAGATCACAGAGCCTGCTCTTGTAATCACCCTTGATAAACAAGGTTACTACTGCAGTAGTTAGAGTGAACAAGCCTGTGGATACAAGAAGCGGTGGGGGTGGGGGGGGCTGGTTTGTAAGATGCTGAGGGGAGATGAGCTCTGTGGACCTGTTCCCAGAGGAAGAGGGGACACCTCCAGGCAGCCTCCTCTCCTGATGGTGGTTTGGACACCCTGCCTCTGAGAGGGTGAAACTAACCACAGAGAATCCTGGGGTTTTCCAGGTAGAAAGGAAACTCGGAACTGCTTAATTCAGCTACTGGTTGACAGATGGGGAGGCTGAGGCACTGGGAAGTGGAGAGATGGCGCTCAGAAGCAGCAGAAGCCAGGTAGAGGGAGCTTCCCCTCCCCAGAAGCCCTCCCTTCCTTCTCTGTCGTGAGGATTCTGCTTCACAGAACAGCTATGCTCCCACCCACCTGAGAGGCCCACTTCTGGCTGAGCAGGTGTTACGGTTTCCCCCTGGAGTCACCAGGGTAGCCAGGATGAAATGAATATAAGACATTTCCCATCCAAGGAGCTGGCATCCCCCCAAACTGCCTCCACAAGGAAGCATTCCGTCCCGCCCCAGCACGACAGAGGCCCTTATCCCTCCTGAATTTGCAGACCCACTCTTCTGACCCAGGTCACTTTTATCCCAAACTGGACCAGCCCTATGCAAAGCCATTTCAAAGATCCCACCCAGGTGTCAGATATCTACTCAGCCACAAGAGTCCCATCTGGACCCCTCCTGAGAGTTTTTGGAAACAGGGCAGTTCTGACCCCCAGCATCCCTCCCCACCACAAGGTGGTGTTGGCCAGAGGGGAGCACTTCTCTTTGGATATCCAAGGCCAACACAATTCTTACCTTTCCACCTGGAGGTTGACTTTGGAGGGCTCCACATTGGGATTCTCCCACTCCATCTGCGGGCAGTGCATGAAATAGCAAAGGGTGTACAGGGCCTCGGGCTCCCAGTAGAGCGCACCCTGCTTGTGGTGCAGGGGGGTGCCGTTGCCGTGGTGCTTGGCGTTGAGGGGCTGCAGGTGATGCATAGCTCGGGACACCAGGTCACCTGTGGACAGAAGTAAGATTTCAGATCCTGCAGGCAGCCAAGATTTTGCAGAGATCTGCCTGAAGATCTCTGCAGAGATTCTGATCCTGGGATTCCCTCGTCCAGTGGGAGTGGTCCCAGGGGTCCTTCAGGCCACACATCAAGCAGAGGGGAAAGCACTTGTTCATTCACCACACGACTGTCGAGGGCTTAGCAGGTTTGGGGAGCTGCTTCAAGCACAGAATGCTGCTAAGATAATCCCAGTCCTGCCCTTCTGGAACCCAATGTTTCTACAAGGCACCCAAAGCCCTTTGTCCATGTCTGCTTCCAGCCTCCCTCACTTCAGGACACCCCCTTTGTCACATCCTCTGCTGTGGCCAATACTGCCTTCACTGTAGTCACAGGAATGGTCTATAGTGTCTCTTGCCTCTGAGCTTGTGCCTATGCTATTCCTTTATCCAGAACATTCTCTCTCTCCTCTTCTCCAGGCTAACTCCTACTGATCATCCAGGTATCAGCTCATATATTAACTTCACCAGGAAACCATTCTGGAATCTCCCTCATTCCCCTGTCTGTTATTACACTGTCTTTTCCTTGTTACAGCATTTAGGGCACTGGGTTAGAATGTTCTTTTTGTAGGTCTTTCCCAACAATAGCAACTCAGTCCTAAATTTGCCAGCACAGTTCTGAGCACTTTAATTCATTTAATTCTCACAACACCCTATAAAGTAGTGTACCTTTATGAACCCATTTTATAGAGGAGGAAACAGAGGCCCAAAGAGGTTAAAAAACTTCTCAAGGTTGCACAGCTATGGGCGGCAGGGCCAGGATTTGAACCCAAGGCAGTCTGGCTCCAGAATCCATGCACGTAACCACACTCCTTGAGGGGCTTGTTTTACTCTTTTCAAAACCCTGGGAACACTCTAGTTTCTCTCATGCTTTCTCCGAAGGAAACCAGACTTCGTCTTAATGAAACCAAACTGGCACACACCCAGGTTGGCCGCGGAGGGAAGATCTTCATGTAGGAGGCTGGTTGGGCCTGAAGCCCTGACTTTTTTTGGCTAAGATGGTGTTTTCTAAATTTGGGTTGCTTGTTAAGTGACCTTCATGAGTGTAGCTGTATCCACCTGCACCATTATTTACTTAATTTTAAATGGACTCAACTTTGTTTTTTTTAAATAAATACATACATCTAAAAGGAAACATTATATCACTGCCATAAATGGAAAATCAGCATCACTTGATGAAAAATCAGTATCTCTTGCCATAAACAGAAGGTCATTTTGAAAGTTAATTTGATGAAAACAAAACAGTGCAATGAGTTTATAGCTGAATTCTGGCCCTGCTTTCTTTTGTAATAAATAACAAGTGTTAGGAAGGTGTTAGGGGCTCATATCACATGAAGACTTTCTTCTTAGAGCCATCAAAATTAAACCAGAATTTAATCGAATCACTCCATGACCAATGTTACTTAATGCACTGCTCTTTTCCACTTGAAATCAGCTCACCCACAGTGGGAGGTGTCCCACATTTGAGGAGACATTTGTCTAAGATATCTGTGATGATTAGTTGTTTGTGTCAACTGGGCGAGGCTGTGGTGCCCAGTTGGCTGGTCAATCACTAGTCTGGAGGTTGCCATGAAGCTATCTTTTTACATGTGATTAACATTTAAATCAGTAGATTGCAAATAAAGCAGATAACTCTCCATAATGTTGGCCTCCTCCAATCAGTTGAAGGCCTTAGGAGAAAAGACAGGACGTCAAAGAGGAAGGAATTCTGCCTTCAGACTCACGACTAAAACATCAACTCCTACTGGAATGTAAAGGCCCCTTTCTAGCCCCTGGTGGGGTGGGAGATTGTCTCCCCTATTCCCGATTCCTCACTCCCCAGTCAAAACCAGGCCTGCAGAGCCTGGTTACCTTTTAACATGACACTTTTACCTAAAATCCAAACCCAAGAAAGTGAGGCCCAGTCAGAGGCAGGAGTTTCTCCTCTGAAGGTCTAAAGCCTGCCTTCTAGGCCCCCATTTCATGTCTGAGGGAGGGGCCACTTCCTCAAAAGAAGATTGACAGAGAACTATTCACCCGCTTTATGGGAGTCAACTACAGAGATGAGCTCCCAGCTGAGGGCAGAAATGGCAAATACTCCTATTTCCATTCCATGTCCATGGCAGACATGCTTAATCAATCTCAGAGCTCTTATCCACTGAATTAGATGGAGCCTTAAAATCCTTCTCAAGACATGATTCCAGGTGGTCACTATTTCTGATAGGGGTTGTCAGAGGCAAGGAAACTTCCACATTGTCAGAGTCCTAAGACCTAATCAGAATGACCTAACCAGTTTAAAATCCAGACAATAGATGCAGAGGGTAAACAGACAGCAGTAGGGGAATGCTTCCTGACATCCCTCTACCTCTGACCAAGCCTAACCCAGAGCCTGCCCCTCCTGCTCTCCATTTCCCACAGCAGGAAAATATACCCAAGAAATCCCTAAAAGCATTAGAGAAGGAAATTCTCTTTTAGAGGAAGATGGGTAGGAACCTCAAGGGGACCTGCAGATGGAAAATGTGGAGAACCACTGCTTAAATTTAGGTAGGAGTCAGGTGAAGGAATTCAAATCCCAGATCTGCCACTGCTTTGTGTGATCACCAGCAGGTCAATGACCCTCTCAGGTGAAGAAATGCTACTCCCCCATCAGGTGGCTGTGAAGGTTAAGTGCAAATAAGGAAGTACCTGTCACATTGTAGGCACTAAATCGGCAGCTCTAAGGCTCATGTCCTGCCTACTCTTCCTCCTTTCTGGTTGGGGGACTGAGAAGTTGGGGGTTTGGGACACTGAAGGCCAGTCCTGCCAGTGCCCCAACCCAGAGTCTGATTTGCCACCTCGTGCTGGAGTTGACTTTTAAAGGAATCTACGCTCTAGGCATCCCTTTGGGGTGCATTTAGGTCCTTAGTTGCCTCTTCCTCCCTTTTCTCTCTACCCTTTCATCTGTTAGGGATCTCACTTCCTGGCAGGGAGAAAACAGGAAGCCTGGTTCCTGCCTCCAGCCAGTCTCATCAGTCCACTCTAATAAGGGGCTGCTCCAGTCACTGGTCCAAACAAGAGAGCAGAGTCAGTACAAGTTGAGAAGGAATCTAGAAGAAAACACCAGGTCCAGGGTGGGATCAAGCACAATGACAGTGTTTTGAAGTTCCTGATGAGGACGCTGACCTAGAATAGAGGGCAGGAGGCACAGAGGCAGGAATCACAATATACTGAGCTCCTGCCAGTCTCAGCCTTTTGAGATATATTTTATGGTTTAATTTATGGAAGAGCAGCATGAGTCAGATACTACTGCACCTACTTCAGAGATGGGGAAAAATAGGTGGAAGGGTAAATTTATCCAGGTGTCACTCAGGAAGTGGCAGGTGACTCCAACCTGGATTCCAGGGCTCGTGTTCTTCATCATTACAGCATAGAATCTCCAAACAGGCACTGATCTGGAATCTACCTTTGGATGTGGTCTTTGAAGAGCCCTGGGGAAGAATCTGAGGCTTAAATCCCAAGTCTCCCAAGGTATATGCCATTGTAGATTCCAGGGTGGGGCCGCCTTGGTGGGTGGGGGCTTGGGAGGTGGGTCCACTTCTGCAGATGGAGCAGTTTCCAGCTCAGGGTTCCCAGAGTCTGATGGGCCTGCAAGAGTAGGGTGGTGGGCAGAGGGGCTGACAAGTCCATCTGCATAAGTGACCACTCTTGAAGGAAAATCATCCTAAGGAAAGAGATCCTGGCCAGGGGCACAAGGGTAATCAGCAATGTTGTGGGCTGTGAAGCTGGTTCTGGACCCAAGAGAAACCTAGTCTCTCAGATCAGACCCTCTGCTCAGCCCCCAGCAGAGCTGAAAGAGCTTTTCCCTGAAAACCATGGAAAGGAGCAGGAGCCTGGGCAGCTCAGCTCGGGGGCCACGGAATGATGCTGTGGAGGATAACAGCAAACACACATCTGGCATTTCCTGTGTTCAGAGCAGTTCTAAGAACTTTATATATATTGCCCCCTTGAGTGCCACACACCCAGTGAGGTTTGTCTTGATAACATCTCCATTTTACAAATGAGGAAACAGAAGCACAGGGAGAGGATCTGGCTGAAATCATACTGCCACTGGGTGCAAGAACTGGGCTTCAAACTGCTGCCATTTGGGAGCAGAGCACACGCTTTTAGTGGCCATGCCACCCTGGCTCCCTGAAGGTAGAAGTGAATCTCTCTTCATTGGTGGTAGCACAAACACATCAGGACCTCCAAAGATCACGGCTGGCTTGGGTGCACCCAGAATTGGCGGAATAGCTCAGCACTTGTTTAACTGGCCTCTGTTGGTAACAGCATCCTTGGTGGGCACAGAGTGGGAATGAGCCCCCGAGGCTGCAGGAGGCAGGGCTGATGGCAACAGCCTGGAAAGGACAGGAGACTTTCCATAGCTGTCCTCAGCTATGATGTCAGGGTCGCCTCAGCCACAGGCAAGATCTAAGGTTTCATGAAGTTTCTCGGGCAGCCAAGGCCTCAGGCTGAGCCACAGCAGGGCAGCAAGAAGGGGTGACAACATGTGAGATGCTGCCTGGGACTCTCACATAGCACCGGTGAGCTTTTCAGAGGGGCTGGATTTCCAGTGAATTTGCACTTAGAGGGGAAAGTTCTGAGAAACTGCTGGTGGGCTGACCTCACGCCTAGGGGGTGCGGCTGGAAGGATGAGAGATCCCCGACAACTGACCCATCTCAACACTTTCTGTCCTCCTGGAAGAAACAGCATGGGAGAGCAGAAGGGAAGTGAAGAGAGAAAGGCTTCCATCAGGAAGACCTGAGAAGCAATTCTGCTTCTAAATAGTGGGCCACCCTGTGACCACTGGAAGGAGAAGACAGAGGCACTGTTGGGTGCCTGGCCAAAGAATCAAAGCCCCAGAGACCCCAGAGTGGCCTCCAAGCTGATTCAGAGTGTTCTCCCAGGACTCCTCTCTGTGGCATCCTGCAGGGGGACACGTCACTGTCACTATTAAT